CGCGAATTTCCCGCGACATCAGCACCCTGTGACGTCATTTTCCTCCCTGTCACCTTCCCCCTCCCGTGACGTCATACCTCTCGACGTCATACCCCTTCCCGTGACGTCATACTCCTCGCCTGCATCCGTGACGTCATACCCTTCACTTAGTGTTTTATGTTGGTAAACCTGGTTCAAAATTAAGTGCTTACGGAAAAAAAGCTCAATGATTTATGTTGGTAAACATAGTTCAAAAAATCAAAATTCAAAAAAGCTCAAACTCAAAAAATAAAATTCAAAAAACTCAAACTCAAAAAATCAAATTCAAAAAGCTCAAACTCAAAAAAAATCAAATTCAAAAAGCTCAAACTCAAAAAATCAAATTCAAAAAGCTCAACTAAAAAAAAATGGACCAATCACAGTCGTCAATTTCTTAAAAAAAAAAACCAAAAAAATCAAATTCAAAAAAGCTCAAACTCAAATTTGGCCTAGAACCCGCCTATCTACTCTACTGTAAAACGTATATATCAAATTTCCTTATAATAAATGATATAATATGATAAAGTAATAAGAATAATTAAACTTAAAGAAGACGAACACATGCATGTTTAATGAACGCATAATACTTAACAATACCGCCGGCCTTAAAGTCCTTGCCTTTAAAGAGACTCATGCCTCGACAGGTAAAATGCAGAGTTTGTTTATAGATCTTTGGTATATGCCGGTACTAGTCTTCACATCCACGACTCTGACCAGGTCATCTTTTCCAGAATGCAATGCTACTACTCTTCCCAATTCGCCAATTCATCAGCGGGGTATTGGCATTTCGTAATACGACTACGGTTCCAATCTTTATTGTAACTTGAACTCTTTTCCACTTGTTTCGTTGCTGAAGCTGAGTTAAATATTCGCTTGACCATCGCTTCCAAAAAGTTTGCTTCATGCGTTCTAAAAGCTGATAGCGATAAAGACGGTTTGTACTAATGTCTGTGAGGTCGGCCTCAGTGATTGCAACGAGTGGACGCCCGATCAAAAAGTGACCCGAGGTTAAAGCCTGTAAATCACTAGGATCCGTAGACATCGGCGTTAATGGTCTCGAATTTAGTATGGTTTCTACCTGAGCTATTACGGTACTCAATTCTTCAAATGTTAGTAAGGTCGAGCCAACTATTTTCGTCAAATGTTTCTTGCACGATTTAACGGCGGATTCCCATAAACCCCCCACATGAGGCGATTGTGGAGGAAGGAAATGTCACTCAATCATTTGTTCCGCTAAATAGTCATGTACTTTTGCATTGTTTGAATTTACTAATTGATACATTTCTTTTAACGCGTTATTATTGGCTCCTAGAAAATTCGTTCCGTTGTCGGAATAAATGCTAAGACATTTGCCGCGCCTAGCCACGAATCTCTTTAATGCGTTTAAGAAAGCTGAAGTGGTTAAATCGGATACGATTTCCAAATGTACCGCCCTCGTGACGAAACATACGAAAACGCATAAATAAGCCTTTCCCGTCTTGTTGCGACTAATCTTTATGCTAAATGGCCCTGCATAGTCGACACCACTTTTAGAAAATGGAGATAGGGACAGCACACGTGAGGCTGGCTTTCTCATTAATTGTTCGACGGGTGTGGCGCGAGCTCGACAACAAACGATACACTTGTGCAGAACGCTTCTTACAACGCTTCGTCCTGACAAAGGCCAGTATTTCTCGTATTATAGATAGCAGAGCCTGTGGTCCCGCGTGCATGTTTTTTAAATGCTCTTGCATTATGATTAAGCTAGTGAAATGATGCTTTTTTGGTAGAATTATAGGGTGCTTCTGATGATAATCTAGTGAAGCTTCCTGTAACCGTCCTCCAACCCTTAGTAATCCATTGGTGTCAATAAAGGATGAAAGAGAAAGTATTTTACTCTTGGATGATATTTCACGCTTCTGAGTTAGTTGGTGGATTTCTTCATTGAATTCGTCTCCTTGGGCCATAAGTAGAAGTGCTTGCATGCTGCGCTCAAGTTCCTGGACTTGTAACGGTCCTGTAAATTTGAGTTCTCCTTGTTGGGTCTTGTGTTTTGAATTGTACGCGAAGCGAAAGCAATATGCAACGGTTCGCCTTAGTCTGCTCAAAGAAGAAAATCTGCTGATAATGTCTATTCTTTCTTCTGGAGCGACAAATGAAACGATGACTTGACGCTTAATCTCAGGCGTTTCTTCTGGTCGAAGCAATTGCGGAGAATTATATATGGCTTCGTCGTAGTTGTCATACAGGATAGAAGGTCCTTTCCACCAAAGATTGCAATTTTGAATTTCGTCTGGATTCATTCCTCTTGAGATAAAATCGGCTGGATTCAGTTCTGAGCGAATGTGGTGCCATTTTGCATTTGTTGATAACTCCTGAATTTCAGCTGTACGATTTGCGACAAAGGTTGCCCATCTGCTTGGTTCTCCAGCAATCCAAGACAATGTTATGATGGAGTCGCTCCAAAAATGAGTATTATCCAAGTTTAGGTTTAACGATTCGATTACCCGCTGATATAGCCGTGATAGCAGTAGAGCGGCGTAGAGCTCAAGCCTTGGCAATGATACGGTTTTTAAAGGAGCCACGCGTGACTTGGTACACAGCAGCCGGACATGATGACACTGATTTGAATCTGTACTTCTGATGTAGGTGCAGGCGCCGTAGGCTTGCTCAGATGCGTCACAAAATCCGTGTAATTCTACACGCACTGGATTGTCGCAAAGAACGCGTCGAGGTATCCTCAAATGATTAAGACATGATATTTTCCCGTACCATGCGGTCCATTGTGTATGAAGCTGGGAAGGCAATGATTCGTCCCAAGCTAATTTCGCTTGCCATATCCGCTGTAGGAGTATCTTGGCTTGTGTGATGACTGGCTCTATTAGACCGAGTGGGTCAAAAATTTGAGAGGTGTAAGATAAAACCTGTCTTTTGGTTAACCTTCGCAGTTTCTCCGATAGTGCGGCTGTATAGTGAAAAGTGTCAAGTTGGGTATCCCATAACTGACCAAGAATTTTTGTGCTACCGCATAGCTCGAAGGTGGCTTCCCCTCTGTTCACATTATCTAAGAACGTGCAATTTGATTTCCATTTGTGCAGCTCAAATTTCGCTGATTGCAGAATCGCTGTGACTTCCTTCCTTATTTCCTGCAGGTTATTAATATTGTCATCACCTGTCAGAAGGTTGTCTACATAGAAGTCGCTCTTAATGATTTCGGCAGCTCTCGGGAACTGATGCTGTGAGTCCTCTGCTGCTTGATGAAGACAACGAATGGCTAAGAATGCCGAGCAAGCTTCTTCATAAGTGACTGTTTGAAGCTCATATGTCTGTATTTCCTCGATTGGATCAAACCTCCATAATATGCGTTGCAATTTACATTACTTCAGATTTACCTTAATCTGCCTATACATTTTTGTCACGTCAGCAGAGACGGCATGCACGTGTTGACGAAAGCGCGTCAAAATATTGAACAGGTCTTGTTGGATTGTGGGTCCCACCATCTGGACATCATTTAACGATAGTCCGGAGCTGGTTTTTGCGGACGCATCAAAAACGACTCGCAATTTCGTGGTATCACTGTCTGGCTTGAGAACAGCATGATGTGGTAATGACGGCATAATATGTTCTGTAATCGTCCTCTGGTTCTTGTGAACTGGCGGGTACATGCTTCATATGTCCGAGGTCTATATATTTCTGCATGAAAGAATCGTATTGGAGTTTTAATTCTGGCTGTTTTGACAACCTTCTCTCTAACGTGATGAGTCTGCGCTTTGCAGCGTCGTAGGAGTCGCCTAGTTGCATATGAGTTCCTTTCAGAGGAAGCTGCACGATGAATCTTCCATCCTCTGCTCGCAAGTGTGTTTCGCTGAAGTGTTTCTCGCATGTTTGCTCTTCTGTTATCAGGTGTTGAGTCGGCGGTAACTCCTCGAGTTGCCAGAATTTTCCTACTTGTTGTTGCAAGTCCTCACAATGAGCAAGATGACTTCGCACAACGGGTCTAGATTGATGAGCGAGATCTTGCCATGCCTGATACATCCTAATTTCGTTTTTTGAAATATGGGCTTGGATTTGCCTAGTTGTATTTGTCCGATGCATAGTAACCTCCAAAAGACTTCTGAGCCTAGAATTAGATCTATTTTACCTGGGGTATGGAAAGCTGGATCAGCTAATTTGATATTAGACGGTATTTGAAATGAGTTGACATTTATGGATATTGGTGGTAGATTACCGGTGACCTTATCGACTACTAAGAAGGATAACGTTTCCTGATACTTATTGAATCTAGAACATATTGTGGCAGTAGTTTCGTATTGAGGCGTGGATGAGACGTTATTGACTCCCCTGACTATGACATCGGTGTTTTGTTGAGGTAATTCTAAACACTCACTTAGCTCTTGTGATATAAAATTAGGTTGCAATCCGGAATCTAGCAAGGCTCTGCATTCGCGTAAATTTCTGTGACGATCACGTACGTGTACTACTGCTATCGACAACAAGACGGTTAAGGTTGAGTGTCGCGTATGATATGAAGATAAAAAATTATTAACGCTATACGAATCGTCTTTCGGTCCGTCCGCCTTATCAGATTTCGCGCCTACGCTACTTAAAACATTTTGTTTGGCAGTGCTGCTGCCTTTATCTGCTTCTAACGGGAGAGTATTCGAATCAGCAGTTTTGTCATTGTGTAGCAAAGTGTTGTGATGTTTATAACATTTTTTACATGATCCGTAAGTACATTTCTTTCCATGGAATGGCTTCAAACAATTGTAGCACAATCTACTGCTCTTGACCTTTTCTAGGCGAGCCTGCACTGACATGTCACGAAATATGAGACATTGAAATATTTTATGCGTGTTCTGACAGATTGGACATGTTGAGTTTTCTGTTCCGACATGAGCTTGAAATTGCTTAGATGATTGCTTTACTGACTGCTGTTTCGAATGACTGTGTATTATTTGATATATTGATTGAGGCTGTGCGAGATAAAGCGCTAAGAAAAGAGCATCTTGTTTCCAGGAAGTCCATGAATTGTTCCATGCTAGGAATTTCATCCTTATCGGCTCGGTGACCCGTCTAGCGTCTTATCTATGTCTGCAGTTAAGTCTGTCAGTATGGTAGTAAGTATTTGTAAATGTTCGTCTAGATCTTCTCGCTGTGTGTATTGGTCTAACTGTAGCTCCATTCTTCTAGTGACGTTTAAGGGGGCAAGATAGGTTAGCAACTTGAAAAAAACATTTTTTTTGGATAATTTTTTATATGAAAGTACAACAAATTTCAAGTCGATCGGACTAATAGCGTTTTCCACTGGGAAAACTGGTGCAGCACTAGCGCTGTGCTACCCAATCAGCATACCATATTTAAAAAATATTTTTGTTAAAGTTATTAAATATAGTACGAACACTATTACGAAATAACCGGTATATCTCAGCGAGTTTTATAGCGTTTTCCACTGGGAAAACTGGTGCAGCACAGAGGATGCCCACTATGGCCCTGGAATAGATGATTCGATGTAAGTTGGAAAAACAAATCATTATTATACTTTTATTTACTCTTAAAACTTTAAACGCGTTTTTCTCAAAACTACTTTTTTGAAGTCGGTGCGTAACATAACTCAAAAAGTAATGCACCGATCTTAATGAAATTTTGCAGGCATCTTTTATATGATAAATACTTGCTCTTGAACGATCGTTTTTATTTAAAAAAAAATTTTTACTATTTTTTACGGTCAATAATAGGCTGATTTTTTACGTGAAAATCGTACCTCTACATTCAAAACCGCGCCAAAAATCGAAAATCGCATATTTTTCAAAATGGAATCGTTCAAAAGCACGAGAAACTAATATATTAAATAAATCACTTTGGTTTTTTTATTTCAGATAACCCTGTGAGGCCAGACGTTACGCACCGCACGCCGTCTCTTTTTTTTAACGCCGACGAACTACCGCCACCACGAGATAAATATTGAATATTTCTTCATACAAAAATTCAGAAGTACACTTTAAAAATAACTCTTTTACATGTAAAAACTTACAACTAATCATATTTATTCAGGACCGAGAAAAAAA